ACAGTACCCTGGCGTCTACAAACTAAGTTGCCTCTGTGGTAGCAGTTACATTGGGGAAACCAAACGACATGTCTCGGACCGCATCCGTGAACATAAAGCTGACCTGAAACACGGTAGGACTAACACCTCAGCCGTGGCAGATCACTGTTACAACTCAGTGGGCTCACATGATATTGACTTCTCCAAGACAGAGGTTCTCTGCAAGCCATCTGGCTATCATGAGAGATTCGTTCATGAGGCGATCCACATATACAAACACAGAGACAACTTTAACCGAGAAGATGGATTCTGGCTCAGCAATCATTGGAAGGACGTAATAAACCATTTCGATACACATTAGGGTGTGTAGAATAATACATAGTGTGATATTAAATGTATAAGATATAGGTTGGTTTACAGCAATACAGTATATAATTTAATGTTGGGTTTATCTATGGCAGTATATAGTACGGTATATGCTCGTGTGATGTAAGAGAATAAGGTTTAGATGGAAGCATATTATAGAATTTTTACGAGGTAAAATTGTAATGTATTACTTGCTGTTAGTAACTCAGCTTATTATAGAGTATAGTAAGTATACTGATGGTGCGATGCAGTTTATACTTTAGTTTTTATGTAGTTTATACTTTAGTTTTCTACGTGGTTGTTGAGTAACTGCAGCTACATATCATTAACATTCCTTTCCTTTGTTACTGCTAATCCCTGCACCCCCCTTGGTTGCTGCTGATCCTGCATAATGCATGGGCATAATATGACTTTGACACCCCCCCGCCCAACGCCTACGCATTTTCCATGAATATGCTAAATCCCTCTTCACATGCACATTCTTTTTGTTAAGGCGCTCTTCAACCCCCAATGCAGCTTATATATAAGCTCCTAGTTTGGTAGTGTCTCATTCTTCACCTGAAGACGGCTGCTTGCGTTGTAGCCGAAACGTCGTGAGAATTGTTTTTATTATGTTTTATTTTTATTATTTTATTACTTCCCTTCTACGTGACTTTACCGAAAGAAACAAGAAGATGAATCCCTGCAGTCACGAAAGCTTTAAATCGAAATTTAACCGCCTCTACGGGGAGGGTTTCCACATAACTTTGAGATCCTTCAACAAGCTCCGGGATAAGAAGGCTCAGCTAATCGAGTCTCTCACCTTTCTGAAGAGATGCCGCGACTCTAAGGTAATACCAAACGCATTTACACTAACATCTGCTGCTGTAACTTCTTCTAATGCGAAACGAATTCTGTCTAGAACTAGCTTAGCTCTTATCTCAGAGAAAATCAGACTTACGCGCACCGAACTAGATCAGTTAGACAAGACACTCTACAAATCACACTTATCTTTGAGTGTAACAATGTCCACATCGGATTGGGAACATGTGGAAAAAATGACTGCCTCTTCAGCTGCCGCTATGTCGACTAAATGTAAGGACAACTTGATTTCCAAATTCAATCGCCTCTCAAACAAGAAACCGGACCCACACATTGAAAAGCTAGATATTAACAAAGTCGTAATTAATCGCAGTAACAGTCCTATTTCTGAAGGTTTGAAATCCGTTTTAGCTAAAGGACTAAACTTTGCAGTCACACCTAGACACATACCAGTTAATGATATAATTGCTCGAGTAGATGTAGCTCTCAAGGGCTTGAGTCACATCGCTGCAGACGTAGCAAGATCCGAAATCTCTGTAACCCTCAAAAACGCTAAGATGCCAGCTAGCAACATCAGCAAAGAGGAGCGTTTTGAATTAGCTCAATTAAAAAAGAGGGATAACATTGTCATCCTCTCAGCCGACAAAGGCAATGCCACTGTCATCATGGACAAAATAGAATACAACAACAAAATTCAAGAACTACTAAACGATGGCAGCTATACAAAAATAAAAAGAGACCCCACCAACAGCCTCGTCTCCAAAACCAACAACATCATTTCTGCTTCAACCGCATTAATTGATCAGACCAAACAGTTCTCGTTGAAACCTTCTGCAGCCAGACCACCAAGATTGTACGGCTTGCCAAAGATACATAAAGAAGATACACCTCTTCGTCCCATTGTCTCTACTATCAACTCCCCCACTTACAAACTGGCTCGTTTTTTGTCCGAAATCCTACGGCCTTTCACTGGAAAAACCACCTCTGCAGTACTAAACTCTACTGACCTGGTATCGACAATCAAGGGGATTGCCCTGTCCCCAGACGACCTGCTTGTCAGTTTTGATGTGGTTTCCTTGTTCACCAAGGTACCTGTGCCTGACACCATCGCAATCATTGAAGACTTGGTTCATCAAGGACTGAATGCTGGGGTACCCCCCCTGGTGAGACACTGCTTAACCAATACATACTTCACCTGGAATGGAACCTTCTACAAGCAAATTGAGGGCACCCCAATGGGCTCCCCCCTATCTCCGGTTGTAGCCAACATCTTCATGGAGAAATTTGAGACGGACGCCATCCAGACTGCCACTCTACGCCCGACCTTATGGAAGAGGTACGTAGACGACACTTTTGTCATCTGGCCACATGGCCGGCCTGCTCTAGACCAATTTCTCGACCACATCAATTCCATACACCCAGCCATCAGATTCACCATGGAAGTCGAAAATGATGGCAAGCTACCCTTTTTGGATGTCCTAATCAAAAGGAGACCTGATGGTTCAATGAGCCACTCTGTCTACAGGAAAGCCACCCACACGGATGCTTATCTAAAACCGGATTCCCACCACCATCCATCTCAGAAGAATTCCCTCATCAAGACTCTATATCATAGAGCCCAATGCATCTCCGACCATGAACACATTTCCAGTGAACTCAAACACGTACGCCAAGCTCTTAAGGCAAATGGTTACTCCGACTATACAATCCGCAAAGCCATCACTCCAACCATCAAGAAGGATCCTGTTGAGGAGCCTTTCAAGACCATCACCTTACCCTACATTGCTGGGGTCACAAAAAAGATCTCCAAAATCCTGATTAAACACAAGATCCAGGTCCGATTCAACACAGTACATAAAATCCGTGATCTGGTACCGTCTGTAAAAGATGTGGTTCCAGACATACAGTACCCTGGCGTCTACAAACTAAGTTGCCTCTGTGGTAGCAGTTACATTGGGGAAACCAAACGACATGTCTCGGACCGCATCCGTGAACATAAAGCTGACCTGAAACACGGTAGGACTAACACCTCAGCCGTGGCAGATCACTGTTACAACTCAGTGGGCTCACATGATATTGACTTCTCCAAGACAGAGGTTCTCTGCAAGCCATCTGGCTATCATGAGAGATTCGTTCATGAGGCGATCCACATATACAAACACAGAGACAACTTTAACCGAGAAGATGGATTCTGGCTCAGCAATCATTGGAAGGACGTAATAAACCATTTCGATACACATTAGGGTGTGTAGAATAATACATAGTGTGATATTAAATGTATAAGATATAGGTTGGTTTACAGCAATACAGTATATAATTTATTGTTGGGTTTATCTATGGCAGTATATAGTACGGTATATGCTCGTGTGATGTAAGAGAATAAGGTTTAGATGGAAGCATATTATAGAATTTTTACGAGGTAAAATTGTAATGTATTACTTGCTGTTAGTAACTCAGCTTATTATAGAGTATAGTAAGTATACTGATGGTGCGATGCAGTTTATACTTTAGTTTTTATGTAGTTTATACTTTAGTTTTCTACGTGGTTGTTGAGTAACTGCAGCTACATATCATTAACATTCCTTTCCTTTGTTACTGCTAATCCCTGCACCCCCCTTGGTTGCTGCTGATCCTGCATAATGCATGGGCATAATATGACTTTGACACCCCCCCGCCCAACGCCTACGCATTTTCCATGAATATGCTAAATCCCTCTTCACATGCACATTCTTTTTGTTAAGGCGCTCTTCAACCCCCAATGCAGCTTATATATAAGCTCCTAGTTTGGTAGTGTCTCATTCTTCACCTGAAGACGGCTGCTTGCGTTGTAGCCGAAACGTCGTGAGAATTGTTTTTATTATGTTTTATTTTTATTATTTTATTACTTCCCTTCTACGTGACTTTACCGAAAGAAACAAGAAGATGAATCCCTGCAGTCACGAAAGCTTTAAATCGAAATTTAGTAAGGTTTGTCACGTAAACAGAACGTGCCAATTTGTTACTAGTGCAGCACTAACCGGTGTGTTGGAGAGCCAAGCCACATCATTTACAATCTGAGTATGACGTTTCGCCATTAATTACAACTAGCTTCACAAGGCGACAGAGGGGTAGATGTGATGACAACACTTATGCTCTCTTCTTGCACGAAGTGGGGGAGGGGTTGAATAAATCAACATACATTATGCATTCCCATTTTGCGAGCCCATTGATCTAAGTACTTCCTGTCGATTGTGTGTAGTAAAATAGCTGTACCAACGGTGTGCTGCACTAGTAATGAATTGGCATGTTCAGTGACGAACCTTACTAACTGGCTGTATCGGGTGTGGTGGGTTTAACGACACATTTATATACTTACGCAATCTAACCCATAAAAAACCTATATTATGGATGATATTGGTCGCGAAAACCTAAGTGTTATACGTTAACAGCACTTCTCCCAAAAGTCTGTTAAGGCTATAGCGGGGATCTTTGTAGGATGGTGACATGGCCCAGTGATAGTGTGTTGCTGCTTGTTGCAGAGGTTCGAATTCGGTAGGCCACCCTGGTTATAACTGCAGATATATTTACCATAAAATATGCACCAACCACTTCACAGTGGACATTAACGACCTCGTGATATGAATTGAAAAACTAGACCATGGCCCAAATTTGTCAAATCTTACAAATTACTTCCAAATTGTTCGATTGCGATTGGACATAGTAACATCACCCCGGCTGTGGAACAACTGCAAACTATGTAGAAACACAGTTCCATCGTGGCAGCCTTGCGCTGTAAGAATTGCACAGATACCAAATGTACAAAATTAATGATAAATTATTATTATTTGTGTGTTGTGTGCGTGTGACTTGCCCAGGCCCCGCAGTGCGAACATGCGTTCTGCAGCGCCTGCATCCACCAGTGGCTCTTGCGGCAGCAGACGTGCCCCGTGGACCGCAGCGTGGTGACGCCGGCGCACCTGAAGCCCGTGCCGCGCATCATGCGCAACATGCTGTCCAAGCTGACGATCCGCTGCGAGAACGCGCCGTCGGGCTGCACCGCCATGCTGCGCCTGGACCTGCTGGCGTCGCACCTCGCTGACTGCGAGCACAACCCCAAGCGGCCCGTGCCGTGCGAGCAGGGGTGCGGGTAAGCAGTCTGCTGCAACAGGGTGTGGGTAAGCAGTCTGCTGCAACAGGGTGTGAGTAAGCAGTCTGCTGCAACAGGGTGCGGGTAAGCAGTCTGCTGCAGCAGGGTGTGGGTAAGCAGTCTGCTGCAGCAGGGTGCGGGTAAGCAGTCTGCTGCAGCAGGGTGTGGGTAAGCAGTCTGCTGCAGCAGGGTGTGGGTAAGCAGTCTGCTGCAGCAGGGTGTGGGTAAGCAGTCTGCTGCAACAGGGTGTCGGTAACCAGTCCGCTGCAGCAGCAGCGCCCTCGATGACCCTGCCGCTCACTCCGTAAGGGTAATGGGTTCCCTCCGGGTTCCCCGGTGTCCTCCTATAGCTGCATGCACGCGTTGGCGTTCCCTGCTGACGTCCACGATTTGCGTCCCCAGGCTGATCGTGCCCAAGGACGAGATGGGTGGCCATGTGTGCGTGCGAGACCTCCGGGCCCTCGTGCTCACTCAGCAGCACAAGCTGAGCGACCTGGAGAAGATGGCGGCCGAGCACCGGCACCAGCTCGCCGAGCAGGTTGAGGGCACGCGCACAAAGACAAAGATCCCCCCCGTAGCCCACCCGGACTTTTGGGGCAGGTGCCGTTAGCGAGCGTCGATGAACGCTGACGCGGCGCACGAGGGTGTGGGTGGCAAGCACTACGCCTGGCCACCTTTGTCTCCCCAGTGTTTTCACACGCCGCACTGGGTATTCGTTTAAGGCCGAGTCGACGTAGCGGAAGCCCGGGACCGGTTTCATACATTCGTCACCGATGGTGGCTGTGAGCGGGAATTGAACTCGGGCGGCTGGGTTCGTAGCGCAGTGTGCGAACCACTGCCCCACCATGGGAACACGCTCAGTTCACGCACTCATTGGCAGGCGCTCACTCGCACGCACTCAAGCACACGAGACACGTGAGATAAGTCATGTCCACACACATGCATGCACAGCCAGGCAGACACACACATGCAGGCAGCACGCACACACAGGCAGGTAGTCACGCACGCATATAAACACGCATGCGCACGCAGACGTACGCACACGTATAGGCGTTCACGCACGTACTCGTACACATGCTCGGGCTAACACACACACACACACAGACTGTTGGGGCAAGTCTTGTTAACGAGCACCTATGAAAGCCGGCACAGCACACGAGGAAGTGGGTGGCCAGCACCACTTCCGACCGCGTTTGTCTCCTCAGTGGTGATGTTTACACACCTCACCTCGTACTCATTTGAGGCTGACTCGACCTAGGGGAGCCCCAGGACTGGTTAAGATAATCGTCGCTGGTGTTAGCCGTGAGCGGGAATCGAACTCGGTTCACCAGGTTCAAAGTGCAGCGCGCTAACCGCTACACCGCCGCTCCCCACACGGACAGACAGACAGGGACACGCAATCACTCGCGTGCAGGCAGGCAGTCGCTCCCACAGACACATTCTCACTAGCTGTCCAGCTAAGCCACCTAATGGTTTGTGAGACTACGAATTCTCTCAGTGTAACACTTTTACGTGTGTGATCTAGATGTGAGTTTGTGTGCCGTTGATTGCAGAAGCGGGAGATCCAGCTGCTGAAGGAGTACATGCGGGCCCTGAGGAACTCCACCGCAGTCCCACGCAGCATTGAGCCGCCCTCTGAGCAGAACGAAGTGTTGGGGTGAGAAATCGGTGACCCTGCCTCGAACCATAGCCCGAGCATAACCCTAACCTGACTCTCACCATAGCCTGAACCTAATGCTCACCATAGCCTGAAGTTAACTCTAACCATAGGCCTATCCTAATCTTACCCAACCGTAGCCCTAACCTAACTCTAAACGATGACCCCAGCCTACCTCTATCTCTAGCCCTAACATAACGCTGAACCTCGCCCGAACACTAACCTAACCATTACTATAGCACAAGCCTAACCCTAACTTAACTCTAACCGCAGTATATTAAATATAAATGTTTAATAGAGCTTACAATGTATGAATATTGCGCACTCGTGATAACGTAGTTTATAAGAGTTCATTCTAGATTTGAAGTTTTTGTGACTGCAAGGATTCATACTCTTTGGTTCTTTTGGTAAAGTCACGTAGGTGAAAATAAAAATGAAAATAAGAATAAAAAATGTAAATAACTAAATTAAATCACGACGTTTTGGAAGCAACACAAGCTTCCGTCATCAGGTGGGACAACCACAGCAAGAAACAAAATTGGCCCACTACAGTCATTTTGTTTCTTGCTGATGACGGAAGCTTGTGTTGCTTCCAAAACGTCGTGATTTAATGTATTTATTTCTATTTTTTATTCATATTTTTCTAAGAGTTGCGTGTTTGTAAATGTACTTCCTAGTCCCAACCTAACCCCTAACCTAAACCTAGCCCAAAACTAAGTTTAACCCTCACCTATCCATGAACTGTCGTATCGCTGTGTGTTTGTGCTGTATATGGCTGGCTGCTTGTCCCCTTGCTGCTGGGGGTCTTGTTCTCTGCTGGAGGGTGTCTATGCCGGCTGCCTGCCCAGTGTCTCCAGTCTTCCCGGCCGTCTGCGCTTACTGTTTGGTGTTTTGATGCCTCCGTCTGCTGAGTATCCGTCCGTGCTCGCCGCTGGGGATTTGTCCTCTGTTGCTGGGTGACTGCTCAGGCTGGAGGTCTTGTTCTCCACTACTGGGTGGTTCCCTTTGTTCCTGGGTGTCCTCTGGTCACTGCAGGTTGTGGTTCCCGGTCTTGCTGGGCATCTGCGGTCACTGCTCGGTGCTTGTGCCTTGTTGAAAGGCTTCTGTGCTGTGTTGCCGAGTGGTGCCCCGGGCTGCTCGCTGCTGGATGTCCTCTGTGTTTGCCGAATGCCCGCAACTCGCTGCCGTGTGTTTTGATCCCTCTATCGTTGGGCGTCGTCACTCACCGCCGTGTGTCCCGCTTCTCGCCTCCCGTCCCGTCCGTCCGGCCCGTCCGGGCTGCCCGCCGGGGCCGCCGCCGCAGGTGGGTGAGCGCGCTGCAGCCGGCGCGCGTCACTCGCTGGGGCGGCATGATCTCGACGCCGGACGCGGTGCTGCAGGCCGTCATCAAGCGCTCGCTGCTCGAGAGCGGCTGCCCGCTCGCCGTCGTCACGGGCCTCATCGAGAACTCCCACGAGCGCAAGTGGCCGCCGGGGCTGAGCACGCTGGAGACGCGGCAGATGAACCGCCGTTACTACGAGAACTACGTGACCAAGCGCGTGCCGGGCAAGCAGGCCGTGGTGGCGATGGCGTTGGAGAACCAGCACATGGGAGACGACATGATCGTGGAGCCGGGCCTCGTCATGATCTTCGCGCACGGGGTGGAAGACGTATAACGCGTGCCGTGCGTCGGGCAGAGAGGGCCGGGCGCTTGCGCGCTCACTTTTCCGGCCGTTCAGCGGACATCTGCCACCGGGGGGCGTCCCCCTGATGCTTGGACGAATCCTCGAGGTACTTTTTTATATGCAGTTGCTGGGCACAGGCCCAAAGGCACCATAAGATCCAACGGCCAGCAACAAATTGTCACTATCAAAATTGTAATAGATGAGGGTTTACGGGTTTCTTGGATTGAGTAAGTGATCGTGAAAAGAGGCGATAGGAGGAAATTCTAAACTGAAGCAGTGGGGGTGGGGGGTGGTAGGGGGGGAGCAGGAAGAGAGTTGCAGTGACCTGCAGTGCGGTGGTTGACCGCAGAGTGGATGAGAAGAAGCGGTCAGTCTGGCAGACCCGATTCCTCAACAGGGGTGGAGGAATCAATGTCCGAATCACTGCGATGGAGGCACGGTATAAATACTGATGATTTATGAGGAAGGATTGAGCCGTTATCTCTGGAGTCTAACTTCAAATAATAATAAAAAATATTTAGAAAAACAAAAATTTCCCCACCATTTTCTAATCGTGCCATCGGCATTGTGAGGCGAGACAAACAGATTCCCTTGGGGGTTCTTCTGCCGGCGAAGGGGTCTCGCGTCACTCCGACTCGGAGAGCGCCCCCCTCCCCGAAGGTGACGTCGCAGAGCCACGGCACTGGGCTCGGCTGTTCAACTCACCACACTTCAGGATCCAAGTTAATCACAAGCGGCTGCAACCTGGGATTGAACCTGGGTCAATCCCATTGCTGCCGGCTCAGTGCTCCGACACGGATGTTATCCCTCTGAGCCACTTGGACACTTCCAGCCTTGAGACACTTCTCAAGAATGTGTGGAGCCTCACACCTGCGCTGGTCCAATGACTTACTTCTTGCAGCTCTGGGACAGGAGTTTGAGGGGTTTTTTTTCTAGAAGCAACGTCAACGGTTTGAAGTAAAATGTCAAAGGAAAGGGAAAACCGATACCCAGCAAACTACACTACCGGCCGTCGCGAGGTCAGGGAGCGACCCTCGGTGTGACGCGTCTCACCTGGTGACATGAAGGTCACACAAAAACTCAACAAAATATTCCGAATGCTGAAATAAAGTTATATTTTCACAGAAGCTTTGGTTTTAGTAAATGCAATGTGAAATATGCTACATGACATGTGGTGGAGAGGGAGAAGGTTTGCTTATAGATGAGTACTTTGGGGAAATATTTTTAAAATTGTTTTAACTTTTCCTAATTTGTATAATTATTTCCCATGTGTCAGTGTCAAATAATTTGACTTCTGTAACCCACAGATTTCTGTCTTTGTCCTGTAACTTCCAACGCGAACGGATCTCTTGTTGCTTCAGATTATCGTGGCAAGTGCTGCGAGTGTAAGCGAAACGCGTCGTGATCAATGTGCTTGAGTGGTGAGAGTGATGAAAATTTAAATGCAGAACACTTGAGAGCGTCAGGATAAAAGCCCCAATTTGACTCCAGAGTTTCCACGTTTCGTGCTGGCGCCCACCAGCGTTGAGTTTTTACTTTGTTTTGTTAAACTGGGCGAGTACTCTTGAGTGGCAGCGTTGCCTTTGCATCTCAGCCTAATGAAACTGCACAACCCCAGCAGGGATGCACTTGTCAGAGTAGGGACAGGATTACCGAGTCAAGATTTTTCTACGTAGCTGATTGCGATAAGTGTATCATTTACCCACGAAGCTTTCGAAATACTGGCCATTCTTTCCAACCTGTTTCAGTCGGAAATATAATCATCATCATCCAATAATCATCACTGATGTTTGTTTCTGATTGACAGCGTCGTCGTGATCACCATTGCTCTCATCACAGTTCCACAATTCTCGATCATCCAAAAGTGTCTTTGATGTTACTCCAATTTACCCCTCCCTCCCAAAATGCCCCTGTCTTTTCATTCCACATTTCCCTCGACCTGCCCGCGTATCTCCCACCCCCATATGCCGGTCCTGGTCACCTCTCTTCATTCTCGTGTCTGGAACACTTCAGTCTGAACTTTTTGCAGCCGCGTGATTTTGGTACAAACACATCTCTCGTGCCGCTTATTGGGTGCATGGTGGCGCTTAAAGTAACACACCAAAGTCTGCTCAATAGGTCATTTTACAAAGTGGCTCATCATTGCACTTAAGTATGCAGTGAACTATTAAAGAAATGTCAGTCCCCTTATTGTTTTGCTATTGTGATGCAGTGTTCATGCAGACGGCGGTGAGCGTTGTATCGTTTGTGCTTGTGCACCACTGCCAACACGGTCCCTTCGCTCGGTGCTTGACTACATTGGCCCGTCGCAGAACGCAACAAAACACTAAAGTTATATGTATAACTTAGGAAGGAGTCTGCTGAAGGGAGAACAGTAGTACAAACTGTGAGCATGTGATGATTCAAATCGGTTCTTACGCTCGCGAATATCTGCATCAAACACTGCACTTGAGAATGTTTTCACGACGTCTGTAGCATACGGACACGACACGACTGTCACGTTCTTGCCACCCGCTATTTATTAATATATTTATTATTGTTGTTGTCATCATCGTCGTCCTCATCCATTATTCACTTTCCATCCCAGTGCAGAAACGGTACAAACGAGGCAGTTAAGAGAAAAACACAACAACGACGACGAGGAGGAGGAGGAGGTGTAGACAACGGAGCGACGTCAGCCGAAGCGCCACACAGTCGACGGGGGAAGTCGTGCTGAGCACGTGCTCAGCAGGCGGAGTGTCAGTAGCCGTCAGGAGTAGTCGCCGCTGGTGGTGTTGGCGCTCTCGTGTGCATCGCACGAGTTGCAAAAAGCAAAGACGATTCAACACTTTAGACGTAAATGCACTCGTGGCTGGAGTACGACGATTCTCAACTCGGTGAGCCACTTCCCTCCTCGTGTGGTCACTCGTCAACACCAGAGATGTACAAAGAGCGCGCGTTTCATACACACGAACTCAATGTAGCGATAGTTTTTGTTGCATATTGAGGATTGGGAATAAAGCTTGGCAAGAAAGTGCCGCGTAGAATTTGGGAGAGGGAGGTGGTGGCGGATGGGACGCGAGTTGTAGGAGGAGGGGACACCCCCGGGGCGCACGTGGGAGCAGTGGCGAGCCCCAAGGTGCGCGACGGAGCGAGGCGCAAGACCTCGAGCCGTGCGATGTCTCCGTGTGTGTGTTGATGCGACTGGAGGAGTGGTCCTTCGGAAGTCGGGTGGTGACCATTGGGCAACTGTTGGCAGTGCAGTGACTTGCAGCGGAGCAAAGCAATAGCGACGCCTTTACGGGTTGTGCAGTTCGATTGGGTGACGGAGAGAGTTGAACAACGCTGACCAACTTGAATCGAGAGGTGATGCCGCGCATCATATCTCGACGGAAGGTGCAATTGTAACCCAGCTGCACCTGCAACTATTAGAACTTGGGCTTTTCTCCTGATAGTCCTTAGGGTTTTATGTGTTTTGTATGTACGATATACACACACGCGCGCATATGAACTATTCTGTGGAGCCGAATGAATGATCGATGTCTGAGGAATGCTCCTTGTCCATACACAATTGTTCCGTGTCCATGCACAATGTCCAAATACAAGCGGTGATCAGAAGGCCTCTGTCCTGATGTTAAGAAGGATTCGCATTTCGAAGCGGAAGATACACTTTCATCTTTTGCATTCTGTTTGAAATAATCACTCTTGTTGTGTGTTCATCAGAAAACGAGACATCTGAGCTGAGAGCAGGCCTATGTTCACAATGAAGCCATGCTGCCACAGGAAATCCATACTTACGATGGAATCCTTGGAATAATCTTCCACATTTGTGTTCCATGGTTAAGAGGTGGTGTCCAGGATTTAAATGCGGGAGGGAAACTTGTTAAGATCCGTGTTTGGGCACCCAACACCATTTACAATTTGTGAACGCCAATTAAATTCGTAATCTCCTGAAATTCCTCTGCATAATTTGATCGTAAGGAATATTTCCAAGTCTGTCTGCCCTTGCGTGTGTGTCACAAGCATTATCAACCGACAGTTTTGTGGTAAACAATGTCTCTGGTTGCCCAGAATCTTGGCCATCAACTAGAAGTGAGCCAGAGTACGGGCATGGTCAGTTGCTGCAGGGAAATCCAGGACCTGTTTGTGACAGGTTCGTGGCAGTATATGATAGGGTGGCTCTCCTTATCTTGAATGGAGAATCGAAGGCTAGAGATTTCACTGGAAACCATGGATTCCCCCCAACTTTTCAGGGATTTGCCTCTTCTGGCCTCTTATGGCAAAGTGATAGCCTCTGCACCAAAACGGACACCTTTATACAAGGGATCATGTTTGCAATAACCACAACACTTGCAGTCGAAATGCAAACAAAAAGAGACAACTCTGATAATATGCACTGTCCTTGAAATTGATTGGTCCACTCAATTACCCCGAGCTCTCAATACTCTGATAGTGCGCTGTTTTTGAGTTGTGCGCCTTTGGCGTCATCTGGTCCAACACCATGTGAGACTAGGCTCTAAGAAAATCCGTCTCGGGTGTGGACCAATTAATTTCAAGGACAGTGCATATCATTATCAGAGTTGTCTCTTTTTGTTTGCATTTTGGCTGCTTTTGTTGTGGTTATTGCAAACATGATCCCTTGTATAAAGGTGTCAGTTTTGGTGCCAGATAAAAGGGTAAACCCCTATTACTATGATAACCTCTGTTTGGTGAGATGCAGTGAAAGCCATTCCGACTTCATGACGCACAAGCTTCACTGCAGGCTGTGCAGGTTCTTCTCAAGCCCCCACCAGCTTGATACACAAAGCTGCGTGGGGATTAAAGCCTTGGAATATTGTTGGACCAAGCGCATTGCACGTCAAGGGAAAGGTGTAAACAACCGTTTCGTTAAGGTCACTTTGTTTTCCCTGTCAATCGGAATCAGAATATGTATTTATACTGGAGGAATCCGATGAGTTATAAAGCTCTTTTACACATGTCCAGTCGGGGCGCGTCAGAACGTTACAACAACAAACAGTGCAAAAACACGATAAGGGTGCAAAGCATTGGAAAGGAAAATAAATCACTTAAAAATATACAACTAAAACTAAGCTGTTTTTTTTATCTTACCAGGTAAAGCCCACTGAGCTGTTAGATTATTGTTCAAAAGCGGCCTGGCCACAAATGATAGCTCAACGATGTGGCTTATCATGTGGACATTTATAGCAGCAAAATAATCTAAATAATCTAACTTCTGTATCACCCCTTGTATGCGTGACTGAAAAACAAATCGCTCCAAACAGTTGAACACTTGCTCCTGGTTCACAGACCGCTGCTGGTTCACAGACTACTGCTGGTTCACAGACTACTGCTGGTTCACAGACTACTGCTGGTTCACAGACTACTGCTGGTTCACAGACTACTGCTGGTTCACAGACCGACTGCTGGTTCACAGACTACTGCTGGTTCACAGACTACTGCTGGTTCCCAGACTTCGCTATCAGTAGGCAAGTTGAGTCCACAGTGGTAAAGGTAATAATCATCTCTCTACCGGTTGCTGGTTGTCAGCTACGTACCAATGAAGCTATTTACGTCGCCTGTTCATTTCGCTCTACACTCTTGACGTTGCTCATCATTTACGTTTGTTTACTGCGAGTTGGCTGGCAATTGGGAGAGGCTGCCCTGCTGCTGCTGGAGCAAAGGTGTAATGTAGAGAGATCCGATGCCGAAATGATTAAAGGTATCCTGAGAGTCCTGCGGATTGGTCGACTATACTTCACCACCCGGGTCGGTGCGGGTTTGTGAAGGGGGCTCTTTAGACGCCCCACCGTCTCGCGTCTCACCCAGTGCCTGGTTGGTGTGTGGGTGTGCCTGGTTGGTGTGTGGGTGTGCCTGGTTGGTGTGTGGGTGTGCCTGGTTGGTGAGTGGGTGTGCCTGGTTGGTGTGTGGGTGTCCCTGGTTGGTGTGTGGGTGTCCCTGGTTGGTGTGTGGGTGTGCCTGGTTGGTGTGTGGGTGTCCCTGGTTGGTGAGTGGGTGTGCCTGGTTGGTGTGTGGGTGTCCCTGGTTGGTGTGTGGGTGTGCCTGGTTGGTGTGTGGGTGTGCCTGGTTGGTGTGTGGGTGTCCCTGGTTGGTGTGTGGGTGTGCCTGGTTGGTGTGTGGGTGTGCCTGGTTGGTGTGTGGGTGTCCCTGGTTGGTGAGTGGGTGTGCCTGGTTGGTGTGTGGGTGTCCCTGGTTGGTGTGTGGGTGTGCCTGGTTGGTGTGTGGGTGTCCCTGGTTGGTGTGTGGGTGTGCCTGGTTGATGTGTGGGTGTGCCTGGTTGGTGTGTGGGTGTGCCTGGTTGGTGTGTGGGTGTGCCTGGTTGGTGTGTGGGTGTGCCTGGTTGGTGTGTGGGTGTCCCTGGTTGGTGTGTGGGTGTGCCTGGTTGGTGTGTGGGTGTGCCTGGTTGGTGTGTGGGTGTGCCTGGTTGATGTGTGGGTGTGCCTGGTTGGTGTGTGGGTGTGCCTGGTTGGTGTGTGGGTGTCCCTGGTTGGTGTGTGGGTGTGCCTGGTTGGTGTGTGGGTGTCCATGATTGATGTGTGGGTGTGCCTGGTTGGTGTGTGGGTGTGCCTGGTTGGTGTGTGGGTGTGCCTGGTTGGTGTGTGGGTGTCCCTGGTTGGTGTGTGGGTGTGCCTGGTTGGTGTGTGGGTGTCCATGATTGATGTGTGGGTGTGCCTGGCCCGTAGTTGTTCCGCAAGTCTTCAAGACTCCTTCGCTACCAAGGCAAGTGCCCCACTTTAGAACGTGACCATTATCCCGCACCTCCGACCAGCACGGTCGGCTACATACGGTGCGAAAGAAGTTCAACGTCCAGTAGATATATATTCGTATTGTTTCCTACGGAGCCCAGCAGCACGCCACGTCTTAGCGCACGAGTTAAATCCCAGCTGCAAATCAACAAATCATTCCACGGGGTTTATCGATCAGGTGCCGCTTTGTGGGAAGTCCACACTCGTTCTCCTGTTTTCAGATGCGCTTCTGCGGCCGTCTGGAACGCTCTTCCTCATTAGGAAGCCACTGGAGCGATGCACTTTTAAATCATCTAGATTTAAAACTCATTTCTTTAGAGCTGCTTTTTGTGTTTAGTTTGTTGTCCTTGCCCGACACCTGCGATTAGCACGGTTGGCTACGTACGGTGCGAAAGAAGTTCTGCATACGTTCAAGACTTGATTTCTCATTCGGTATATTCCGTAACGCTGCTCGGCTGGTTTGGAGTAGGGATTATCTGCGTAAGGCACTACTACCACGAGAGTACAAGGTACACCTATAACGATAACGACCCTCCCATATAATTGTACCTTATATTGATGTAATCATATGAGGATAAGCAACCACCTCGTGAAAGACCTCACGGATTTTACTCAAAACATTCGGGAAACCAAAGACCGGATCAGCACAAACCGAGCACAAACGCAAGATGAACAACTCCCCTGCGACTGTGGCCACCGCTTCCACTGTGGGGATATCTGCACGTGTTTCACTTCCTCTGTTGTTCCACGTCTCTCTGCTGACACCCTCTGCTGAGGCTGCGTCCACAGCCCAAGCTGCCCCCTCGTCGGCGAGTCTCCTGCCGTGTCCTGCCAAGGGACGTGTGGAGACTGACTCCTGGCGCACATGGGCAAGAGGACAGTTGTTGTGCCCGTGAGTTTGGGCCATTATTAATTATTCATTTAGCACTTTTTTGTATCAATCGTTATCAGTTGTGCTCAACTTCTCATAACTTTGTAGAGGTGTAATTGCGCATGGCTACGGATGTTGAGGTGTGATTATGCATGGCCACGGATGGCCAACAAACACAAGGGGCGGGGTTACGGCCGTACACAAGGGTGGCGCTCGCATGTGCATCCCCCACGGGCCCCCCCTCGGGGGCGAGTCCTATAAAAGGTGATGAGCTCGAGGGCTCGAGGTCGGGGCTCAGCTTTAACCAGAGAAGAAGGAAGACCTGCTAGAATAGGCCCCAGAGCTCCCCTGGCTCGCTGTCCTTATAAGGGCCGACCAGGGCAAGCCGGTGGCGTGGCCCCGAGAGCCCAGACTAAGCTGGTCTGGAGACTCAGGGTGCCGGGATCCCAGCTTAACCAGGCTGGGACAGATAGGCCTCCCCTAGCCCCGTAGTGGAGGAATGGGCATAGGTTAGAGGGGTTAGCTGTTGTGCAATCCCTGTAGCCAAGTGACCTGTAATTACTGTGTTGGTGTAATAAACAAGTGTGCCTCCGATCCTGTCATCAAGCCTCCCATATACGTACTACAACTTTATGGCAATCAGTATCGTAACTCGCTTATTTACTCGGACTTACGATTAATCGTATCGTAAACTGAACTTACGACATTGCTGCCATGTCTGAAGTCGTTATATACTCTGACCCCAGAGGTCCAAACATAGCAATGAGGTATCATTGTGGATGGAGCTCCCGTTGTTGTCATGACAACCTCACCCCTCTTTCGCCATGACAACCTGCTTCCTACTCTCTATCGTCATGACAAACTCACCCCACCCATTGTCGTCATGACAACCTAACCCCACCCCCCCAATCGTCATGACAACCTAACCTCACCCCCCAATCGTCATGACAACCGAACCCCATCCCTATCGTCACGACAACCGAACCCCACCCTCTCCGTCGTCATGACAACTTAATCCCGCCCCCCGTCGTCGTCACGGTAACCCGGCCCCTCCCCCTCTAAAGGAAGGAAGATGGAGTCGCGCGTGGAGGAGCTTCGCTCTCTGCAGAGGCTCGTGGGCGGCCCCGCGACGCCGCTGGAGCGGCAGGCCGAGCGAGGGGTGCGTGTGAGAGAGAGGGGTGCGTGCGAGAGAGAGGGGGTGCGTGCGAGAGAGAGGGGGTGCGTGTGAGAGAGAGGGGTGCGTGCGAGAGAGAGGGGGTGTGTGTGAGAGGGGGTGCGTGCGAGAGGAGGCGCACGGGGGATAGGGAGATAGGGGGGGAACCCGCGGCTGGAAGTCGCCGGCCCGTGTCGCGGGCGCTGCGGGGTCGCCGCGTGGTGACACGTGGAGTTCGGCCGGGCCCTGTCACCACCACCACTCTCTCCTCTCTCTCCTGTCACCACCACCACCACTCTCTACTCTCTCTCCTGTCACCACCACCACCACTCTCTCCTCTCTCTACCTTCATGACGCTCGCTGTCACCACCACACCACCACTCTCTCCTCTCTCTCTACCCTTCATGACGCTCGCTGTCACCCACCACCACCACCTCTCTCCTCTCTCTCTACCTTCATGACGCTCGTCTCTACCTTCATGACGCTCGCTGTCACCACCACCACCACCACTCTCTCCTCTCTCTACCTTCATGACGCTCGCTGTCACCACCACCACCACCACTCTCTCCTCTCTCTCTCTACCTTCATGACGCTCGCTGTCACCACCACCACCACTCTCTCCTCTCTCTACCTTCATGACGCTCGCTGCCTACAGCACGCAACAACACACTGCGGGAAGCTGTGATAGGCGACGTTTCGGGCAATAGCCCTCGAGGGCGATTGTTCTGGCTATGGCCCTGAATAGCACTCTACGGCGCTGAATAAGGACCATTGCCCGAAGCGTCGCCAGTGTTAAGGCCACACGCAGAGTATTGCTGACGCGCGCGGTTTGGTGAATTGTGGTGGTGCACCACTGCCAAGGGATTTTCCCTCCACATTTAGAGTGTTTGGCTGCGATAAATGTCGAACATGATAAGCCACTTCGTTAAACTATCATTTGTACCATGTCGCTTCTGATAAATAAGCTAATAGCTCGGTGGGCTTTACCTGGTAAAATTAAATAGTTTAGTTTAAACTTTTAATACTTGCTTACGTTTTTCCTATACTTTGCACTCGTATCGTGTTGTCTTTGTTGTGACTTTGTGACCCGCCCCAACTGAACATCTGTGAAATAGAGCTTTATATCTCACGGGATTCCTCCAGTTTAAATACATATTCTGATTCTGAAATAAGTAAACACTTTAGCATTGTGAACCACGAATATACATAAACGTGAATCGTACATAACGCATACAGACAGCAGATTAGCCAAGTAAATATTAACCCAGACATACAGCCGAAAGAATACAGTTTCTAATTAATGGGTACTATTCGCTGTGATGATATGGTTCGGAAACTTGGACAATAACATAATACATGGAACAGAAAGAAAAAAACCTCGCGTACGTTGAACTTCTTTCGCGCCGTACGTAGCCAACCGTGATAATCGGAGGTGTGGGGGAAGGACAACAAACTAAACACATCAAGCAAGATGGATTTGATTCCAGCCAAGTCGTGAGTGTAAAGAATCACGGGTCCGCTTGGAATTACATTGAGTGAACGCGAAGATAAGAACACATAGGCTGGGTCCAAAGACATTCTAACAATTAGGCAAATGGATTTGGGCAGGTCACATCGCTGGAATACATCAGTCGGTCAGGAGCCTTTTCTTTATTGAAATGTCAGATTGAGACCTGCCCAATGAGACGGGTGATTAATGTGCGCGTTCGCGTGGACGACCTGGGTCGTGGCGACCCAGGGCCAATATTTATAACGGTGACAGCCAAGGGGTGGAATGCACAATCAGAATATTTATACTGGAGGAATCCGATGAGCTATAAAGCTCTTTCTTTCACAGCTGTGCAGTCGATGCATAATGAGGACGCGTCCGCAGAGGAGATGGAACGATGAAAAGAAGCTCAGGTGCTAGGCGGATTATTACATCGCAGGGTCGTGAGAGATGCGTTTATCCAGCAGTCTGTTTGGGACAAGTGCTGTTAGCAGCACCACGCCAGACCCTCTGTCTCCCAAGTGGCGATGTTTACGCACCGCACGAGGTGCTCATTTGAGGTTGAGTCGACCTAGGGGAGGCCCAGGACCAGTTAAAATAGATTATTAAGACATGAACACAATCACACACACTAACACGTCAGCTTATATTAACACGGCAAGGCACAGCACCATAGATTAGTACAGACAGCACACATGTACACACATGGTACACTGACAGCACATGCAACATGGCAGCATCGTAAGCCACACATTAGCACACTTTTCCACAGCTCGCATTAGCACGGTAATGCTAAACCAGCAATATAGTGAAACATAGATTAATACGTCACGCAATCATATTACACACATCACATTGAACTACTGTAATGAATCCATTTTATTAAATTCATGTAGTATTCGTTGTTTAATGTAGTTTGCTATGGCCAATGTAGTATGCTATGGGTAATGGTGAATGACTTGTGTTATGCTGAATGTAGCATTCCCTTTAGGACTGCAATTATTGTCTCATCAGGCTTGTAAGGATTAATTGATTGCTGTGTAATTAATGTAGATTCGTACACTTATGGTATAACGCTTTGCGATTCACATATCATTGTTTTATAATGATACCATAAATAATGTATGCATGCACACAATTCCCTTTAGGAGAGGAATAGTGGAGAAAGATGACTCTGAAGTCAGACCTAGAGAGCCAGCGGGTTGACGTGCTGAACGAGAAGGATTGTCGAGTGGACATGGAGAGATGATGGCCCAGGACAGGATTGAGTGGAGAAAGAGCACCTTGGAAGGCAAACTCCCACGTGAGTGGTGAAATCACATGAAGCTCTGGTCTCACAATGGTGTATGCGTGTGCCGCATGTGCTGCAGGTACCCGTGCTGCACGCGGGAGATGGCTCCAGCGTCGTGGGGCTTGTGAGCGCCGCGTGTCACGTGGTGCGCGCGTCGGGGCAGCTGCAGCTGCTGGGGCTGGACGCGGAGGCCCGCGCCGTGGTGCAGCAGTGGGCAGAGTACGCGGTCGCCCTGGAGCAGGGAAACAAGGACTCCTTGAGGACTGCCCTCCGGGTCAGAAACATGCACCAGGGTGGCCACCTTGCCGCCTAGGATAGCCACCTGTCTGGGGATCGGCGTCTGTGTTTTGGTGGCAGGAATTGATGGAGTGCCACGATGGCGAGATGTTAACTCCCCCGCCCGATGTACAGGTCGTGGGTTCGATCCCGACCCTGACGCCTGTATATTTGAAGTTTGCGAGTTCTCCCCGTGATCGCGTGGATTTTTCTCCGGGTCCTCCGGCTTTTCCTTCCACATTTAGAAACACGCGTTTAAGAGTATTTGGCCTGCTATAAATTTGCACGTGATAAGCCACTTCGTTGAGCTGTCATTTGTGGCCAGGTCGCTTCTGAAAAAAAACCGTATAGCTGAGGGGGCCTTGGTAAAATAAAAAATTGGTTGTTTTTGCTGCGTTGCACTTTCGTTTGCCATTTTGGTAACTCAGGTCACTCTTGCAAATCAGACTCATGCTGATCTCTCGAGCTCTCACCTTGGTTAAACAACAAAATAGACTTCAAACTTGAACTTAGGTAAAGTAAACCCGAACATAGTTCTCAGCATCCTAACATAAAATTCAACACCATACCAGTACCAGATCTTTGTCAAAATCAGTTCATACCACCCCAACACAACTGCCAATTCCTGGACTGTACTGAATTAAACCTGGATGTGTGCAAGATCTCATTTGGTTCATCACTAACCACAAGTGTAGCTTGGTTTGGTTAATCTACCACCCACACACAATTTTTCCTGCTTTATCCACCACCCGCATGCTTGCTCTGGTCAAGTTAATTCACCAATCACATTGGTGGTTTGTTCTCGTTTACTCACTTGCTCTTTCCAGGGGTGCATTCAATGGGCAGAGCGCTCCAGAGCCATTTCCTGTTGAACAACCTTTTAGCAGCCCAGAGCGCATTGTATGTACGTATGGTGAGCTTATTCCGCACCGTACGTAGCCAACTGCTAATTAATCGGAGGTGTGGGGGAAGGACAACAAACTAAACACAAAAATCAGTTATAAATAAATAGATTTCAATATAGATGATTTAAAAGTGGATAGGTCCAGTAGCTTCCTAATATCGGCAGGAAGAGCATCCTAGAAGGCCACAGAATTGCATCTGAAAGCGTGCGATGATGCGGTGACCATCTTTGTTCGATGGCCAGCCAAGAGCCGCTGCTGCGAGGATGATGACCGGAGTTCACGTGATGGCTTTGTTGAAATCCAGGCAATTGGAGGATTCGCTGGACCTTCCTGCGACCTCTCGGTTTCATATATGTGACGCGCGCGCCCATTAGCCCAGCCCGGTGTGAATCTCTCGGCCCTCTTAATGCGCCGTTGGCCTCGTAGCGCCGTGGCAGAGCGCTCTGCCCGCTGAACGCACCCCTGCTGCGATGCCTGCATGCGTGGACGTAGCGCGGAGACTGCATGAATGCCGTCATCTCGTTTTGTGCACCTGCCCGCCATCTTGTACATGCATGCCCTCGCCTTGTTTGCTCATCGCCTGCAGCGGCGTTCTTCATCGCAAGGCCCCCCAGGCCACTGGTGGCCCCTGGTGGCCTTTAGTGCGGCCCCTGACGTGCGGCCCCCGTCAATAAACAAATGCGGAAAACACTCCCCATCATCAACGTCGTACTGCTGTCAAACCCCCCCAATGGTTGAAAATGTGTGTTGGCCCTCACGCTGGTGATGTCTTATTGGGGGAAAGTGGCCCTCCTCTGAAAATGAGCGAAAAACACCGCACTACATTCTTGGTCTTTGTTTGCGTCACGGTTTTACCAGACTGCAGTTCTCGTACCCATCACAAGCGCGCCATTCCAAGTTCAGTATTCAAATGCACATTGTTACATGCTGCATGCCCCTGATGATTGGTCAACACCTCCCATGTAAAGTAGAGAGTGCTGTCTGATTGAGTGGAACATGCACATATATATATATTCGCACATACAGAATGTTCTTCGTCTTAACCTGCATCGGTGCTCTGTACACAATGATCATATGCTAATAAATAGACAACAGTTTATCTTGCCACGTAAAAAAAAGCCTACATTTGTAGTCCGCCGGTCCTTAAGTAACATTTACACAGACCCAGCTATAGACCAGTTTTGACTTTCACACACTCATCAGCAGAGCCGAGCCTTTTTTTATCATCATACGCTGTCGGGATAATCTGTAATCGGTGTGCCACCTGCGCAACTTTGTGTCGTTTTAGGAGCTGAATGACTACCTCGCAGACCGGGTGTTCGTAGTTGGCAACTACCTCACACTGGCTGACATCATGCTGTACCACAGGCTGCACCCCGTGTTGGTGAGTTGGGGGTGGGAGTCGGCACGGAATAGATGGACATTGCCGCTCGGAATTGTGCGCGTGTGAATAATTTATACGTAATATTGCACGTGGCAAAATTCTCGTTATTGCATTTCCCATTTCTTGCGTTTCACCCCGCATCTGCCCTTTGCTGGTTTTAGGTCGCAAAACTTCGTTATTGGTACAACGTAACATTTTCCCACTACAAGAGTTGCAATAAAATGTACTACACGCGCCGTTACGTATTCCTATCCCTAAATGTTCCGCGTGCGTTTTCTCCTACCTCGGTTTGTGCCTCGGCGTGCGTTGGCGTGTGCGGCGTTTTAAGTCGTCGTGGCGACGCTCGGCAATCCGCGTAGCTTCTCTCGCACACTCTGTAGCTCGCGGCGCTGCGTCGCCACTTCTCCACCGCATCTCCGGTACTCCACGTTGTTGCACTACAAACCCGGTGACCCTGTGTTCGATTCCTGGCCACGGCTCACAATCTTTAGCAAGAGATGTCTGAACTGGCTCTCGGTCTCGCTGCGATTGGCTCGGCCTTAAATTAGTATCTGGTGCAGTGTGGATTAACACCGCGGCGGTAAAGGCAGCCAGGTGTTGTTTTTTTAGTGATTTGTTCTTCTTTACAATACTTTTCACTCCTATTGTGTTTTTGAATTGTTTGTTGTTATAACTTTCTGACCCGCCCCTCTTGGACTTTGTGAAAAAGAGCTTTGTGGCTCATCAGATTCCTTCGTACGGTGTGAAAGAAGTTCAACACACGTACAGGATTCTGATCTGGCCACGTGTCGCCTGGTTGTATCACCCCGGCGTCTCCCCCTCTCACCCCACCCTATGCCCATTACCTTCCTCTGCTTGCCGCTCTGCCACCAGCTCCATCCACGGTTATCCTTCTCAGCGGCACGTCCCGCCAACCCCATGTGTCTGTGACGGTGGTGTCCGTGAGGGTCCTCCTATTCTCTGGCCCGGTGTTTGCTCTGCATTTGCTACATTTTAATCATCGAGCACTTTTGCTAAGGTTTGTTTTTCCAGTGATAAAGGACTAAAGATTTTCATCCATCCATGTATATTTGCTTCAGTATAAATATTGTAATTCCGAGAACCCGATGTGCACTGTACCGGCCTTAGATATTCGCCTACGTAACAGTGTGTACGATAGGCGACACGGGCGATCTTAGTTTTGTAGATGGAGGGGTGGTATGTATGCATGTGTTTGTGGAGGTGGGAGTAGTGTTTGTGTTTACAAACACATGGTTTGTGTATACAAGCAAGGCGGTGCTCTTCTATTTGTGCGTATTAACAGAGATTCCGAGATTCTGTACGTGCATGTGTGTGTTAAGGTGGTCCATCGTGTTTGTGTTTTAACGAAGATGGTGCATATTATGTATGTGTTGGTGTGAATGGTGTGTGCCCATATTTATGTGTATATTGAGAAGACGCGTGTGTGTGCATGTGTGTTTTGTGGCGAGTGGTGGCACAGTGGTTAGCACATTGCGTGACGAACCCAGAAACCTGAAGTCGTTCATGGCCAACACCAGTGGCGAATATCTGAATTGATCCCGGGCCTCCCCTAGGTCGACTCGTTCTCAAATGAGTACCTGGTGCGATGTGTAAACAAAGGTGGTCAAGCCATGGTGCTGACCACCTGCCCCGAGTGTGCTGTGTCCTCATAGCTGCTCACTAACAGCACTTGCCTCAACGGTCTGTTACTGGCTACACGGGAGGGATCTTTTGTTTATGTGAAGCTTTTCTGTTTTCATATCGAGGGGAATAACGTGACAGTGTTAGTGTCTTAGCTACCTGAATTTAAATCCTGGCCAAGACAAACAAGCGTAATGTATCAGAACCTGTCCTGGGTCTCCCCAGGCTCTCATGGTGGTGTTCAGACCTCCGCATGGGGTTGACCAATGTGGCCCAGCACGGCACCAGCCCCCGCAGCCCCCGCAGCCCCCGCCTCGTCGACCGTCCTCGCCTCAAGAGGCCCTCGCTCGACAGCGCTCGCTGCAACACTTCCTTTGGATGTTTTTGTTGTTGTAGATGGAGGAGGTGGTTTGTGTTCAATTAATAAGGCCAAACACAGCAGATGAGCCTCGTCCATAATCTACGAGGAACTGTGTGGACTGGTGTCTGGGAAATGGGGCTTTTATTAACACAAAAAATTAAAAAAATATTTGACCAGGTAAGGCCCACTGGGCTCTAGAGCTCTTTTTCAGAAGTGACCTGGCTATAAGAAATGATAGCTCAACCAAGTGGGTTTCTCGTGTAAATGTATAGCTGCCAAATACTCTAAAAGCACGTTGATTCTACGTGTGGAGGGAATGACCGGAGGACCTGGAGGAGAATCCACGCGACCACGGAGATAACATGCAAACCTTAAACAGACAGGCGTCCATGTTCGGATCGAGCGCACGACCTCCTGTATGCCAGGTGAGGTAGTCAACATCTCGCCACCGTGCTGCCGGTGACGCTAATTGTGCTTCTGATTCCAGGCGGCGCTCTGCGTGCAGGAGCGAGAGCAGCACGTGAACGTGTGCCGCTGGTTCGACAACGTCCAGCGGTGGCCGCGAGTGAGGCAGCACCTGCCAATGCTGGTCATCCTCCGCAACAAGATTTACTCCTGAAAACTGAGACCGCGTGAGACTGCGTGAGACCACGTCATCGGTTTTCCACGCGGAGAGAAACCAGCCGGCGCACAGGAGCAGCAACACCGACGACGCGCGCTTTTCCCGGTCGCTCTCGCATCGTTGTGATCACCGTAACGTGGCCTCCGCAGTCGAGTGAATTCCGTGGGTCTCCCCTGAGAGTCGGTTGGCTTCGATCGATTGTGGGTTTGGTACGGATTTTTCCCAATGTGACGACGCAAAGCGGTGACTTTTAAGACCAACACGAGCTGTGTTTGGAGAAGTATCTGTAAATGTTAATTAATTAATACCGATATTACAAGCAAACTATAGAAATTCTGTTCACACGCTCGCACAGAGAAAAATGGCAACTTGATGATAGTGTTTTTTTTATTTTTGGACATTGATTGCTGGAGCGATAAATAATAATGGGTGGTGGTGACATGGCTGAGCGGTCGCACATCTGCTGCTTGTTGCATAGGCTCGTGGTTTGAACCCCCCACGGCCACCCTGGTTAATACTGCAAGCGCATTGACAATGCACAACGTCTGCTTCACGTTCGTGGAAAAAAATGTGTGCTGGCATCATGGTCCAAATTTGAAAAACGACTTATAAATGACTCGATTAGGAGAACACTGTCGTTTTCTTTAAAAGTTTGTGCTTTATTTCCAAATGTATTATACAGGTAAGCACATGCTGGCAACCTTGATTGCATCCCACGAGTGTTGTTAAAGAAGAGCAAATTTAGTTCGTGCTCCACAAGTCACTGCCTGTTCAACACTTGGGGCTTCTTTCAAATCTGCCAGTTGGACTTCAGCGGAGTGGAATGCATTTGGAAAGTGTATGCGGGTAAATCAAGTCCATACCTGTCAACTCCTTATCAGTGCCCTACAATATTACAGACCACTTCAGACCGTATTGGTCACCCCGTGCCCTTACAAATCTCAACGTTCATCCTACAAAGTCCCATCACAAGGTAGAAACACAGACAATTATTTCTGTTGTGCCCGTGTTGAAACGGCTATATGCCGTATGGACCTGAAAACTAAATTTCCCTGTACAAGAATACGGGGTAAAGCGTGTGGGTTGACAGCTGTGAAAGTCCAAACTTGTGTATATTTGTCAACAGCATTGTTTTACGTGAGAGAACAGAAGGGAAATCGCGTAATGTATAAGAAGTGACGACCCGGGCACATTGATACTCTTCTGTAGCCAATTGGCTTGTTTTGGGGTCCCTTGAAAAATCTGTGGAAAAAAATCGGTTTACAGCCACATTAATCATGCGTACTGTGTAATTGCCAAAATAACGTTTTTCTGCATGCATCATTTATAAAGCCGGCTTGCGTAAACATTTGTCTTCTTATAGCAGGCTCCTCTAGAATGTTGATCTTTTCAACTGGTTGCAGTTTACATTTGAATTAACTTTATTGCGTGTTCTTGTTGCCATAATATTACAAGTACTGTACTGTATGCCGTCACGTTAATAATGCCTGGTTTGAAAATTGCCGAACAATGTCCCCGTCTGTTCCTGTGTTGGTATTTGGCATGCGTCTGCGATATACATCGATTCCTTGTTTCAAGAAGGGTTGCCGCGTATGGAGATGCTACGATGTAAGTGAGATCCACGTTAATCGTATAGCCCGTTTTGCTAAAACATTTAATATTTGTGATTGTTTATATTTTATTCCCTGCTGAAATACATGATATTACAAAAGCACAACACTGCAGTCGAGGTTCAGAAGAAATGGCTGTTACCTATTAAATAAGTACTTTGCTAAATGTTTAGCAGAGTAATTGGCAATTGTATGACCTCGTTATTGTCATAGCTAATTAAATTACTTCCTACGGAACTGCCGGCCACGTAAATCTAAATTTAAGATTGTAAGAGTGAAGCGATTAGAAGACTCGTGGCGGCGGGCCTCTGTTGAGCGAACTGCTGTCCATGCATGTTGAAGCAAATCTTCATTTGTACTGGGAAGCATAGCGAAGCACCAACACGACACAATAAACTCGTAAAACACAATCACAAAATAATAATAGGACAATTTTATCTACCCAAAGAGTGACCAACGCAGACGTCAGAAACGGGCTGCACATCGACGGCGATGCAGGCAGTGATGAGAAGGGGAAACTGGAATTATTTGGACACGGGATGGCCAACAGGAAAATGAAAAGTGTCGTTGTTCGGGTAAAATGGAAGGAACAGGAAAGAGGGGAAGACCTCCGAGAAAATGGCTTGGCGGCAGAGTCAGAGATTGGTGTCAGAAAGATGTTGCACTACTTGAGCATTTTGGCACAAGACAGAGGAGTTTGTAAACATGACGAAATGTGCAGTGGACACCTTACGGGGCTCTCTGCCCATGGATCGTGATGATGATGTGGCGATAAACCGTCGTCATTAAGATGAACATCCTATCTTGGGACGTTCTATCCGGCAGCCCTAATTAACAGCCGTGACTCGTGTGACCTGTTTCTCTTTGCGCATGTTCATCAATTGCATGTTGTGTGACTCCCGTGAAAGGCACGGGACACGTCATGTATGTTGATCCCTTCTGGATCGACAACAGCGGAGCCAGACGTGACAAAAGGGGACACGGCACGGCCTGTTTGTTACCCGTGCATCCATAAATTAAAATCGATTGTGACGTGCAAGATACACGCGTTGATTTGTGTGAGCAATAATATACCGGACTGTTCTCCATTTGTACATGGCTGTAATTTGTTCACGTAAGCTTTGCTTATGTGTGTCCATATTGTGTTAGGCCTGCCCTCCAAGGGGGGGGGGGGGGCTTTCATTCGCCCACAGGTCTCCCAGAGGATTTCGGAAAGGCTGAGGAAGCAAGGGAAGCTGATACCAAGAGACCGTGGACCTTGTCTTGAGAGAAACTCCACGAGTTTCAGGGCCACAGTGGGACCCACAGCAGAACAACCTCACTTGAGACAGAATTCCCCTCGAGTGGAGGCCCTTCCACCAGCATTGGCGTGGGAAATTGAACGGCTGCACCTTCATTGATTTACACATCGATGGGTCATCTGAAGTCCCGCGAATAGTGTTGAATGCAGTGGCAACTTAAAAAAATGTCCCACTGTCTTTACAGACAACGTGGTAGATTGTGATGGCTATGTACGCTTGGGTTACTTTTAATGGGGTTTTGAATGGCTGGGCTGGTCATGAAGAAAGACACCATTGTTGTACAGCCAATGTGAGATGCGTTGGCGTTTCATTGGGTAAAGTGTATGCCTTAATGATCAATATTGGCCTTGGCCTATCAGAAACACCACTGCCTGAGCTCTCCGTTGAATTGGGTAGCAGAAAAGTAGGCGTCTGGTTATTCGTTCAAATAGCACCAATTTGCAGAGGAGCCGATCGCAATACAGAGCGGAGCATGCGGGGGGGGGGGGGCTTTTGATGTCGCGCCCACACCGAAGGGCAGGGAGGTCTTAGCGCATCCCATTTGCCAGTCACAAGCCGCTATTTGCGAAGGGCAATTGCCCGAAACGTCGCCTATTATATATATTTTAAGGCCACTGTTGACACGGAAGGTGTTGAGTTGCTTGTTTCGTTAATTGTGCTTGTGCACATCTGCCAACCCAACAGCAGCATGACCAGGATCGTGTGAGCATTGATGATAGTTGCGTCGCGTGTGTCTCTCTGAGGTCGATGAACAACATTCTGGTCGTACACGACAGACGCGTACACGACACGGTCTGCCGCACGCATCGAAGACAATCTCGACTGGCCAATGCAAGTTCTGGATGGGCGATGCATTGATTTGCTGTAACTAAAGCGTCTCGTTTTTTATGTTGTTTGGTGTTGGCCGTGAACGGGAATTTAATTCGGGTGGCCGGGTTCGTAGTTCGGTGCCCTAACCGATACACGACCGCTCCCCACTATACATCAAATACATTCACACCTACACGATAACGTACACACACGTGTGTGTGTGTACAGGCGGCGTGTTCTATCTGTGTAATTCAGCTTTGTACGCACCACACGTGGGAGTGATTGTCAGACCCACGTGGCCATGCCGTGCACAGGTCGGGAACCCGCAAGACCAGCCAGGTGACTTCTCTTGATGCAGGCGCGACCACAACACACGCGACGCAGACGCAGAGTGGCAGCGCACCCGGTGAGACTCGGGGCTGTGGTGCCTCCGGAGACGTGAGTCGGTGGAGGTGGTCACCTGAGCAGGTGGATGATGGAGGTGGTGACCTTAGGTGGATGATGGAGGTGGGAGATTATAAATGCACGCGCTGCGGGATTCAAGGGGGAGACCGAGCCAGGCTCACAGCAACAACAACAACAACCCTGGGGACGCAACGCCTGGAGAGCCCTGGGCCCTGGAGGAGCCCTGGGCCCTGGACTCCGTCTCCAGCGTGGAGTCGACGCCTCCGTGGGGCCCAAGTCGGTCTTGTGTCCGCCCCGAGGGACGCCCCGTGACGGGCCCCGGGTGGACAGAGACACGAGTTGGGGCCCCCTTGACAGCACCACGAGAGATGTTTTCAACAACGGTGCCAAAGGACAACAAACAACATGTTTAAAACGCGGTTTTAGTTGATGTTTTAATGATTCACGTCCCACGTTGGATGTTAATGTCATCAGAGCAGTCAGGGTTGGCTTCTGCAAGTTGTGGATCGCCTTCCACTCGTGTCTCGAGGGGCCTTGAGACATTAGTGGAAGGCTGCTTACAAATAAATGTAAATAATTATTGTTGTTTATCTCTATATATGTTGTCATAGTGTCAAGAGGCACTGCTACGGAGGCTGTAGAGGCTGCATGTTGCGAAGACGGAGCGCCCCCAACAGCGTTAAGTGTCCGAGACCGTGAGGGTCACCGCCACGTGGATGAGGGCGAGAGGAGCCGCGATCTTGGGTTGGAGTGATTGTGCCATTATTGTCAACACGTTGCCTGGAATCTTCTCCAGGTGGTCTCCAGAGCCTGGAGCCACATTTCTCGTGGTGTTGTTGCAAATTCTCAGAAGTGTTAAAAAAAATGTTGACTTCTCTCGCATAATCACGGTCTTGAACATTTAACCTCTCTTCTGGCCCAGGTTCTCCATCATCTCAGCAGCGTTCCATTTCCGGCTGCCAGGAAGCTGTCACTTTGAACACACATGAACACTTTTACCGCTTTCTTTCACATCTCGTGCAGTTGTGCAACATCCTCCAAGCCTTTGGCGGGGGGGGGGGGGGGTCGCTGATGGGGTCGTTCCCCATCATCCTGCGACACCGCGTACACTTCGCCACTTTGTACAACACAACCCCATCCCGCTCGTCCACGTGATATTAACCACACACACAAAAAACCTCGCGTGGGACTTGAACCTGGGTTGGCAACTTCTAAAGCAGCAATACCACCCACTACGCTATGAGGGCCCTTGCTGCGTGTCGCGAATGTTGTGGCTATTAAATCACTGTCGTTATTCAACATTGTTTCAGATTGTGAGAAAGATAATATGATAATCGCGAGAGTTGACTTTGTTTTCATGATTCAATTGGCAAAAACATGTTCATGGATAAGTTGGAGTTGAACCTGGGAACTCCGTGACTCACAGCGCCACGTGCAAAAATAGAACTTTTAGTAAGAGCTGAAATCTGAGACTTGAACTCGAGTTGATTACTCCATAGACAGCTGTGTTGCCCAGTACGCCATGAAAGCCCAGTCGATGCTGTAACCGTTCTGGCTATTAGATCATTGTCATGTCAGTGTTGTATTGTTTTATTAAATTATATGAAACATGCCACTCCGAGTCCTTTGGTCTGCATCCATTATTGAACTTAATAATAATAAGCGAGGTGGATATAATCATCATCAGGTGGATTAGTTCATGCTAAATCTGTGTATTTGAACCCAGGAACCAATGACACACACACCCCCACACACCAGTGACACACACACACACACACCAATTACACAGACACACCCACACACCAATTACACACACACACACACCCACACACCAATTACACAGACACCCACACACCAATTACACAGATACACCCACACACCAATTACACACACACCCCCACACATCAATTACACACACACACCCACACACCAATTACACACACACCAATTAGACAGACAACACCCACACACCAATTACACACACACACCCACACACCAATTACACAGACACCCACACCAATTACACACACACGCCCACCAATGACACACACACACCAATGACACACGCACCAATGACACACACACCCACACACCAATTACACACACACACCAATTACACACACACCAATACCAATCGCCGTCATTCGCCACTAAGTGGCGGTGACATCACCACGGCGCCTGTGCCAGGCCAGGTGCACTTTGAGACCACGCGAAGTGTCGAAGGCTCGCTGACAGGAAGTCTCGGGACAGACCCTGCAGGTGCCATGGGAGATCACCTGTAGATGCTGCAGCTGTGGCCCCTGCTGTGCCAACTTGCTGCATTTTATCCGCTCAAGACGCTCCGCTCGTTGTTGTGAGCGTCGCTCCTCTGCGCACCTGATAGGCTCACAGTGACGACATCACATGTACCCCCTCTATTTAAGAGCGAACCAGGAGGAGGATTTCTCTACAACTCTGGCTGCCGCCTGATGGTGCTGGTTGTCGTAACTACCAGCGAAGCGCCACGGTAAATGTGGGTTTACTCTCCAACACACCGGGGCGCTGAACAAGTAACTAATTGGCATGTGTTGTTTACGTGACAAACCTTACTAATTGGCTGTGTCGAGTGGTGGCGGGTTTAACGACCCCGGCTCGGCTGCAAGATGACGCTTCAACGAGAGTGCCATCTTTGACGAGTGCGGCGTGGAATTGCCCTGCGGGTGGCTGCTTCCTTTCAGATTAAAAAAACCGACGGGAGACGGATCTCATGGAGTCAGCGTTGAGAGTCGGTGAGACTTGTGGTCGCAGGATCAGAGTGTGGACCGAGACCCAGCGAGACTGGGTCTCTTGAAAACAGAACTGGCCAAACAGTCCAAGACTCTTCTGTCTGTTCATAAAGCAGTCTTGAGGCGGAGGGAAGCCGACGTGGATGAATTACATCACTGACATGAATTACATCATTAACATGAATTACATCATTAACATGAATTACATCATTGACAACGGCGACGAGAGCGATGATGATCGAGTACATCATCATCAGCAGCAGCAGCATGATGATGATGATGATCAGCAACATTGATGGCTCCTTCCTCGCGACTGTCATCTGCTTGTCCGTGGGATATTGTGAAGAGGATCAATGTCGTTAAAAGTGCAGCCCCTACAATTGCCTGCTCACACCACTAGGAAGCTTTGGCCTACTCTTCCACGCTGGCCAAATGTCTCGGAAGAGCCGGGAGTTCCCACACTTTGCCCCACCACACCACCACCCTCACCACCACCACACCACCACCCTCACCACCACCACACCACCACCCTCACCACCACCACCATCATCACCCTCACCACCACCACCGCCACCATCACCACCACCACCATCATCACCCTCACCACCACCACTATCATCACCGCCACCATCACCACCACCGCCACCATCACCACCACCACTGCCACCCTCACCACCGCCACCACCACCACCACCCTCACCACCACCACCGCCACCACCCTCACCACCACCACCGCCACCACCACCACGTGCAAACTTCCCGATGGCATCCAACCGCGCGGCAGCGATTCTCACCGCTCGGTGGACAGAGGCAGTGGGAGGGACTTGAGGCACTTTGTCCCGCGGCTTCTGCTGCCACGCCGGGAGATCGCATTGGCGCGGCCACCTCTGGGTTTCAAGTCCCAGTGTCGCTCACCATGACATCGTCACAGCATCAGCAGCATCTGGTTGCATGAATCGGGCTCTATTCATTTAGTATGTAATCTGTGCCGCACAGCGATTTTAATAATACTATTAAAGTCAGCAACCGTTGTTTATATTAAGATGCAGCTTGTTTAAAAATATTCAACAAATTACATCTTCGTGCTCCCGTTAAGCTCATAAAAATCATCGCGTGAAATATTGGCAGAGCGTTTTGCGCTTAATTACATAATCTCTACAGGAACGTTCATTCGCGACACTCGCTATGTGCTCATTGTGTGCTGCCAACATTGAAGTGTTGACGTGCACCACAAAACAAACACGACCACAAAGACCGCTCCTCGTGCAGCCTGCAACAGACTACGGGGGCAAGTGCTGTTAGCGAGCACCGATGACGGCCGGCACGGCACACGAGGAGGTGGGTGGCCAGCACCACGCCCGGCCGCCTTCGTCTCCCTGGTGACGATGTTTAGACACCGTACCAGGTACTCATTTGAGGCTGAGTCGACCTAGGGGAGGCCTTGGACGGGTTAAAATAATCTTCACTGATGATGGGCGTGAGCGGGAATCGAACTCGGCTCGCCGGGTTCGTAGCGCAACGCGCTACGACTCCCCCCCCACACACGCACACCACACACACCACACACACACGTGCTTCACACACACACACGTGCACCACACACACACGCGTGCTTCACACACACACACGCACACCACACACACCACACACACACGTGCACCACACACACACACGTGCATCACACACACACACCACACACACACACGTGCACCACACACACACACACGTGCACCACACACACACACACACGTGCACCACACACACACGTGCACCACACACACACACGTGCACCACACACACACGTGCACCACACACACACACGTGCACCACACACACACACACGTGCACCACACACACACCACACACGTGCACTACACACCACACACACACGTGCATCACACACACACACGTGCACCACACACACACACACACACGTGCATCACACACACACACGTGCACCACACACACACACGTGCATCACACACACACACACGTGCACCACACACACACACCACACACACACGTGCATATGCCACAGCGGGATTCATGGAGGGGAAAAAAATGTTGATGCATTTACATGTATTTATTATTCTGTTCCCTCCACCCAAATTCGCAGGCCAACTCCGTAACTCTGTACAATCATCCCGTCATACAAAGAATACAACCGCCACTAATATACACGCATTATTGACCCAGATGCTCAGCTGGATTTTAGTGGTGAAATTGTACACGCACACGCGCATCACACACCACACACACGCACGTGCATCACACACACACACCACACACACGTACCACACACACGTGCACCACACACACACACGTACCACACACACACACGTGCACCACACGTACCACACACACACGCGTCCCACACACACACGCGTGCACCACACGCGCACAAATCCTCAGCATCGCTAAAAACTTGACAACATCCATCATCACGATCACCATCTATCGCCCCGCCAAAGCCAACCAGCCGCCAAGCCGTTGTTACATCGCTCGCGCAAACCCCTCCTCCGGAATGCAACAATTCATACAAATGCGTCTTCGTATAGTTTATTTTTTTTCTTCTTAAAAATAGCCTAATTCGTGCAACCATATCAACAAATCAAACTCGGGGACACCACTGTGCGTGCATCGTGTAACACTGTGAACGCCTATTAGTGGCGGTGACACGGACATGGGATGAGCCCGTCCCCAACGAACCGACAGCTCCACGCCGGGATCCTCGCAGGTAAAGGTGCAGCGCTGCAGCCGCTGCATCGTGACACCGCTGCTGACGATGCTGCTGCCGCTGCCGCTGCTGCCGCTGCTGCAAGCGGCTTCCTGCTAGGAGGGTAGCTCTAGAGATGACCCCCCCCCCACTGCCCTCTTTTGAGAGGGTATTTTGGCCTACTCTTCTATGCGAGTCGACATCTCGGGAGAGTTGGGAGGTCGCCCCAACCCCTCGCTTCACCCAGCGACCGGTCGACCCTGGCAGTCGACCCTGGCGGTCGACCCTGGCAGTCGACCCTGGCGGTCGACCCTGGCGCGCTCTTCTGCGGTGCACGAGTCGATGCCGCTGCCGCTGGGTGCACAGAGCGCCAGGGATTTCAGAAACTTCACCGTGGTGTTGACTGCCGTGCCCAGGGAGAACGAACTGGCTATCCCTCTGGATTAGGAACCCCGTATCTGTATATATATATTTGTGTGTGTATATATATTCAGTAACACTCCGTAAAATATTAACAAAATATCTTATTTTCATGCCGACCCGTTCCACTCCACTCATGTGGCCGTGTTTAATCAGCGAAATCAGACGGAATTCTGTTTTAGAGTCCTGGTGACGACTTCCCCACTTTGTAAAAGCCTCTCTTGTCGTCCGTCGACATCCACACAGCGACACACACACACAAAGCGGTGTATCCAAATACGCATTGTGACACCTAAGGAGTATAAAGATATAATAATGTTTTTGTTCACCCCGCCAAAAAGTCTCACAGTCCCACGAACTCTCCCATTGTGTGTGTTTGTGTGTAAATAACCAAGCGACATTTCCAGCCGTGAGAACAAAAAAGCCCCCCTCCCCTCTCGACGTTAAAAAGGCCCCGCGGCCAAATGTCATGGACGGCTGTGACGTCACGACATTCACGTTGATAAAATTGACGAAGCGGTCGGAGGGATTTTAAAAACGAGGAGACGCAAAACGAAGTGACGAGGCGGCTCGGACGTCGTCGGTGTCGTCGGTGTCGTCGTCGTCCTGCCGTCTCCGCCGCAGCGCCGGGCTTCCGCCCCCCTCTCCGTTCGCCACCGCAGACCGGGACCCACCAACCCTCCCAGAGCGGGCAGGGCGGAGCGGGACGGGCGTTGGGCCCGTCGGGCCGCGCTCCTCCACGGCGGAGGGCGGAGCAGCTCACGGAGCTCGCGGAGCTCGCGGAGACGCGAGCGCTCGGGGCGGGGGCGCGGGGAGGGGACGGCGGCGACGACGAGGGTGGCGGCCTTCATACCTCCGTGCTCACGCTGTGCGAGAATCCGCCAAAGTGTCCGGGCCGCTTCGCGGCCGCGGGGAATCCGTGCGGTGGCAGAAGAGACATCGGCGGAGGGGAGCAGGCCACCCTCTCGCCGCCGTTACGCACGCCGCCCTGTCGGCGACACGTGCACGTAGAACGGGCTGCCGTAGGGCGCCCGCGCCGCCGCGCGGCAAGTCCTGCGCTCGCAATCGAGCCGATCGGGCCAGGAGGCCGGCGGCGGGGGCCCCGCCGGGAGCCACGGGTCGCGGTCGCCGCGGGGGGGCCACTGGTGGCGGCAGGAGGGGGCGCGGGGGGGCGGTGGCAGGGGCGGCCGTCCCACGGGCAGGTGGTTGCATTTCCCGTCGGTCGCCGGCTCGGAGCAGCGCGAGTCCGGGGAGGCGGGCCGCGCGGTCAGGTCGGGCTGCTCTCCGTCGTCGCTGTCCAGGTCCTCGCGCTTACAGCAGTAGTACTGCCGGCGGGGGGGGGGGGGGGGCACAGGTTGGCGGAGCGTCACGTGCGTGCCTTGAACTTCTTTCGTACCGTACATAGCCGCCCACGCCAATCGGAGGTGCGGCCGGTCATGTACGTAGCTGTGGCACGCGGCACCCCCGGCAGCGCGTTCGCGGATCGCTTCTGACGGTGCCTCGTCAAGGGCGCTAGTCCGGCAGCGCCGCTTCACCGGGGCAGAAATCCCCGTCAAGTTGTAAACAAGTATTATTTTACAGTCTTTCTTAGTAACCCCCCACCCCTTCCCGCCACGTGGTGTCATGGTGTGATGGCAACGTGCCGTTTACCTGCAGACGACAGTAGCACAGAACAGCGATGATGCAGAGAAGGATGACCGTAGCCAATATTCCGCCCGTGATGACAACGGTTCCTGCTGTCATCCGCACCGCTCTCCATTAACCGCTGCACACGCACAAGGACAAAGATCCCCCGTGTAGCCTCTAACAGACTGTCGGGCAAAGTGCTGTTGGCGAGTGCCAACTCGGGGCGAGCACGGCACGCGAGAGGGTGGGTGGGTCACACCGCACCGGGCTGCCGCTGTTGCTCCAGTGCTGACGTTTACACGCTGAGACAGGGACACATTTCATGCCGAGTTGACCTAAGGGAGGCCTCAAGCACTGGTCCAGATATTCGTCACTGCTGTTAGCTGTGAGTGGGAATCGAACTCGGGTGACCGGGTTTGTAGCGCAGTGCGCCAACCACACACGCACACACGCAGGCACACACGCACACACGCACACACGCAGGCACACACGCACACATGCACATATGTACACACAACAACAACAACCGCCATTCGCCACTAAGTGGCGGTGACGTCACCACAACGCTTGTGCCAGGCTATGTGCACCTTGAGGCCACGTGAAGTGTCGAACGCCCGCTGGCAGGAGGTCACACGCACACACACATGCACACATGCACACACACACACGCATGCACACACACACTCACTAACACACACGCGCACACACGCACGCATGCACACACACGTACGCATGCACACACGCACACACACACGCACACACACACATGCACACACACACACACACGCACACACACACGTACGTTTAACTTGCTTTGCGCCGCACGTAGCCAACCGCGCTAATCGGATGTGCGAGCGAAGGACAAGAAACTAAACACTAAACGCAGTCTTAAAGAAATGAGTTTTCACTCTCCATGATGATGTAACAGTGCATAGCCCCCAGTAGCTTCCTAATACCGGACAGAAGAGCGTTCCAGAAGGCCGCAGGAGCGCACCTCGAAAGTGCGCGGCGCGGTGTACCGCCGCCTTTGTGCGACGGACAGCCAAAAGCCGCCGCTGCGAGAATGGCCGGAGTGAAAGTTACGCGCTGACAAGCCGGGCGATGGCGTGGAGGGAAAAGGCCGCCGCAGCAGGATGATGCTTGCGGGGGCCACGGCGATGACAATCCGAATATTTGATGGGAATGTTAAATCAGAAGAGAATGTCCCTGCAAGCGTGACAAGAGCAGGATACTATCACGTCTGCGCCAACGCGGACGCGGCGTCTCTCGTGTGCACTGCCGACTGTGATCCGCTCCATGGCCAGCCACGATCAGTCCACTGCCGGATGAAGACATCCCCCCTTCCAGCCTTTGCCATACCGAGCGACCTTTCTTCATAGCGCGTAGAAGTCAGAGAGTGGATACACAAGTTACTAAGACTGCACTTTACACCACGGGGCCTGATGGGAATTATATTTTTAAAATGTTTTCTGAATTACCCAGTTTTTAAGTTGGCGCATGCATTGTTACCTAGGAGGAGCTATCAATAATCTAAGATTTTAATGACCGTGATTCTGTCGATGCAAGCTTCTCGTGGGAGTCGTACAAGAACAACAACAACTCGTCGTGGAGGGGTCCTCGGCAATCGTGTCGGGCACGTGGGCTGACGGAGCAGAGTTAAAGGGCCTTGAGATCAGGAAGATAATTTCTTGTCAAGGAGCATCAACCATCATCACGCCAACACCCCCCCCCCCCCCCCCCCCGGTGGTCATCCTCGGAATGGCTTTTGGCTGCCCATCGAACAAAGGCGGTGGTCATCGCATCGCGCAATTATCAAACGCGCATCTGCGGCCGTCTGGAACGCTTTTCCAACCGATGTTAGGAAGCCACCGGAGTTGTGCGCTTTTACATCATCTCGACTGAAAACTGATTTCTTTAAAACTGCTTTTTGTGTTTAGTTTGTTGTACGTCCCCAGAATCTCCGATTAGTAGAGTTGGCTAAGTACGGTGCGAAGGAAGTTCAACGTACATACAGACATTAACGCGGGAGCAGAGCTGCTGTTAACTGCTGATGATGCAGATTGCATTCAGCCGCGAAACGTCGAACACAAATGTCAACATTTTGTTTGCGTTTCAACGTTCCTCCTCCTCGATTGGCACATTACCCCACGTGATGACTTTATTTCATTGGCTCTGTCCGGTGTTGGAGGTTACAGATGAACATTGGCTCTATACCGACGCTGTGGTTTAACCCAAAATAAACGAATTACGAGTCATAACATTGGTCGTGAAAGACTGCGAATCAAATTAATACTTTAGCCATGTAGAGCGTCCTGTCCCAGGGAAGTGTCCAAATCCTCACTCTGCCAGAGAAGTCTGACACCCAAAATCAAACCCAGAACCTCATCAGCGGCAGACCAGTGCCCTGACCTCCGAGCCAACCGGTCACCCCAATTACAAGCGGGGTTGCTTTGTTACAGAAGTGATATTGAAGCAGCATCGAGCCCGTGCACGTGTCACCGTGTGATTAGAAGCCGGCTCACACCAACGATGACGAGCCCAGCACCCACACCACCCTAATAGTGGGAGACAGACCACGTGCTACGCCACCGTCAGAGTTAAATGCCACGTGGCCTTTTTAGCTATCAGCTGCTATCATTATTATTCTTGTTGTTGTTGTTTTCCTTCCCCCGCACCTCCGATTACCACGGTTGGCTATGTACGGTGCAAAAGAAGTTCAACGTACTTACAATTCCCGCTCTCAGGTCCAGCTCCATCTACTCTCAGATTGGGGGGCCAGTAGAGCTAAACTAAACTATGTTTTATTTTACCAGGTAAGGCCCACTGAGCTGTACAGCTCTTTATTAAGAAGCGGCCTGGCCACAAGCGATAGCCCAATGAAGTCGCGCATCACGTGGAAATGTATCGCAGCGAAACACCCTAAACGCGTGGTGTCGATTCTAAACGTGGATGGAGAACAAATTAGCCGGAGAAAAATCCACGCGACCCCCACGGGGAGAGCACGCAAAGGCATCGTCAGGGTTGGGGTCAAACCCACGACCTCCTGTACACCAGGCGAGGTGGTTAACATCTCGCCACCACGGCCATTGTGTGGGGGGCCACCATAGCAGTGATTCGCACTAAGCAGGAGAGTGAACATGGGGGGGGGGGGAGTGCAGGACCCAGCCTAGCACCCCCCCCCCCCCCCCCCACAAGCGCCAAGACCCTACCGGCCGTGACACATCGATCCGACACCCAGACATTGACAGACATTGACAGAGACGGTGGAACAAAAGGCAGAGAGGAGGGAGCATGGAGAGATGCGTGCTTGGAATTGCATTGAGGGACAGCAGATAGAGGAAGTGGTGAACTCGGGAAGAAAGGAGCACGCCGCCAAGAGGACGTCTATCACGGAGACGGAGCGATGAAATGATCTCGTGTAAGAGAGGTGCATGGGCTGTATCACGGGACCAGGAGACATGGCATTCATGGGGAGGCAATCATCCAGCAGTGGATCGGTCATGGCCGACGTCGATGGTGATAATGGCCTTACTGTAGTAGAATCCAGCCAGCAAAACTTGTTTCTAATATAGAATGTTTGCAGACACTTTAGTTATAAACATTGTACGGTGGAGGTTTCCCCAGCTACTTAGGCCCAAACATCTTAAGTGCGGAAGCTTCCTTGACGTACAAAAACAATTTGCGTCTTCGTGGAGATCATAAATCACCACTCATGTCCGCCTCTGCACATAACAAGATAACAACATTCCCTGGGCAACCCATGGGTCACGCCCTTCATTCTGGGGATGCGTCACTTCATCAGGGTTGATTCAGTGACACACGCAAAACTGTGGAGCAGTCTCGATACACAATGTCTCATCAGCAGAGTCAGGCTGCCCTCGATCAATGCTGGGGAATTTAAATGTTTACGATTTTATTTCACAAGGACCCGCTTGTCACGATATGGGGTCCCAGTTCAACACAAAAACATCATGGATTGCTCAAATGATCATTAGCATCGTATTACATCGCCTTATAATATTCTACATGTCTCCCACCCATCTCAATATTCTTGCTGTATCGTTTACTGATGCATTTGGTCCAACGTGGCCAGCGCAATCCGCTAACAACATTCAACAGAGGCAGGGGTCATGAGAAACCCATGGGGTATCTACACACGGATCACCCATCATCATTATTCTTGTTGTCAACGTCGTCAGCTCATGATGGGGATGAATGGACGTCTCTCACCGTTATGCACCAGTCTGATTCAGCAGCATTCGTTGCAC